GCGGGCAGCCCCTAGGCGCAGCCGCTTAGGCACCGCGCTCTTGTCCCCGCAGGTCGCAGCCAGGCCGGCCGGGCGCGCCCAGCCCCGGCTCCTGGAGCGCCCGCCGCGGTCCCCACCTCCATGGACGCCTTCAAGGGGGGCATGAGCCTGGAGCGGCTGCCGGAGGGGCTCCGGCCACCGCCGCCACCGCCGCACGACATAGGGCCCGCCTTCCACTTGGCCCGCGCCACCGACCCTCGCGAGCCGCTCGAGAACTCGGCCAGCGAGTCGTCCGACACGGAGCTGCCAGGTAAGAGAGGCTCCCCGCGCGGCGCGCACGGAGCCTTCCCCGGGCGCAAGACGCGGGGAGCCAGGAGCACGGCCTGGCGCCCGCGCGGGACAGTGAGATTCTCTTTCCTCCCGTGAGCTTTCCTTTTCCCGTTCTCGACCTGATGGTGAAAGCGGAAATTTACACAGACACACACACGAAGGCACTTCCACGAGGTCCCCACGCGCCAAGAGGCCGGCAGATGCAAAGACCTATGACCAGAGGGCCAGCTGACAGCCCCTCTTGATCAGGAGCAAATAGAACGAAAAGAGAATTGAGTTCGCGCCGCTGGGTTCCTGAGGCCGATCAGAGGGAGAGAGTAGATTCAGACGGGAATGGGGGCGGCGACCGAAAGTGCCCAGAGAGACACAGAGGGGCAGACACCCCAACAGTGGGTGACAGACTAAGAGGAAGAAATCGAAGAGAAGGGAGAGAACGGGAAAAAAAAGCAAAAAAGCAAACTGGGACGGGGTGAGGATGTCAAGGAAAGGAAGGCACGGAGGAGAGAGAGAGTGAGAGGGCCACAGAGCGAGGCCCTGGTCCCGACAGGGCCAGCCCGAACTCTGATCGAAAGATTCTGGCTCCAACTGCACTGCCGAGCACTGAGCCTCCAGGCCGCCCAGCCAGGGCTCCGATGCAGCTTGTACGTCTCCCTCGGCGCTGTCTTTTTGTCCGAGCTTGAACTTTTTCCCCGCCGCCAGCAAGACTGGCGAGTGGGCGGCGCGGGCCAAGTAGAAGACGGCTAGTAGCTCCCGGCCGATCCTGGCCGCCTGGGTTTCCGAGCGGCTCCTGCGCTGGCGGTCCTAACTCGGCGCTGCCGCCGAGCTCCGGACTGCCCCTGGTCCACAGGCACCTCTTTCTGCGTTCATTTCTTAATCCGCCGCTAAGTGTTTCTCTTCGCGTTTTTAATCTCTTATTTGTTTCTGTTTTGCATCCCTAAGTGCCTTTTTCTGAAGGGTTTTGTTTGCTTGGTTTAAAAACAATCAACGCTGGACTGTGCTTTTGTTTTCAAAAGTTTTAAAGCGTGGTCTTTGGTTTTTCTTTTTAAAACCCAGAGAAATATATAGTTATAGACTGATTTTAAAACTAAATCTAAAACGATTAAACAATTTACTGTATTTTTCGAATTAATAGGAATACACTAGGTGTATTTCTCTGGAATTTAAAATATCTATATGCAAAAATATTCTTATAAGGATTTTTTTAAGTTGATCCAAAATGGCGTATTTCTTTGGGATGTTCTTAAAATCTATTTACAATGGTTATTTTGAGGATTTAAATTATCTAATTATAATGTATTTCTCTGTGATTTAAATTTTATCTTTACCAGGGCGTTGGTTATTGGGAGGCAGTTAAAAATCTATCTACAATGATACATGGATTGTTTTAATCACAGAGAAAGAAATGGCGATGTCTGCCTAGACTTTATACACATACAGCACTGTTTCTGGTTAGGTGTCTGTTTGCACACAGGTTTCTGGCTTCTTAATCTGCATTTGCCCTGTGTTCCTACCTGCTTAGTTTTGAGCATTTGTGACCCTTTATGTGTTTTAAGGCATAGAGCTGTGAGCTTTTCTGGGCTGCTGTGTTTCGCTTTTAAATTCTTTTTCACGTTTCAGTGTTTGTATGATTGCATGTGGTTTGTGTAGTTTCAAAGAGAGAGCGCACGCTATCAAAAGCTTAACAGGGTCTCCTAGACTGTCTGGGATGATGTTGGAGAGGTTTTATAGGCCTTGGGACTGGAGGCCTGGAGCTAAGGCCCAGAACCGGAGCTAAGGCCGAGAACCGGCTGTGTTCTGGCTGTGTTGTGCCTGCCCACCCTGACCGAGGCCTCCCACAAACCCTGGGGAGAAAAAGAGGGGGCTACAGGCCACAGCCTAGCTCGTGCTTCACCGACCCCACTGGCTTCAGGAAAGAAAAATCTGAACTTTCCTAGATCCTAGTTCAGAAAACCAGAGACTCCTCATATTTAGAGCCCCAAGAGCCGCAAAAAAGTGTACATTTACCGGTGACAGCACAGCAGGGCCCCAGCTTGAGCTCAGGCTTGGGCAACAGGCCCTGCCCAGCCAGGAACCCAGGCTCACGGCTTCAGCTCCTTAACTCTTCTCCCCCGAACGCCAGACAAGCAGTGCCTACTGACGACCAGGCACCAGGGTGGGCTCTTTCCAATGCGGATAATTCCTGGGCCTATGGCAGGAGGGAGGGCAGTCGCCAACACTGTGGCAGGTGCTTCGGTGGAGCCGGGACGGGGTGCTATGGGCATAAGCCCCAGGTGACCGGGGCCCTGTCCTGCCTGCTGCAGAGAAGGAGCGCAGTGGGGAACCCAAGGGGCCGGAGGACAGCGGTGCAGGCGGCGCGGGCTGCGGCGGCGCGGAGGACCCTGCTAAGAAGAAGAAGCAGCGGCGGCAAAGAACGCACTTCACAAGCCAGCAATTGCAAGAGCTGGAGGCCACGTTCCAGAGGAACCGCTACCCCGACATGAGCATGCGGGAGGAGATCGCCGTGTGGACCAACCTCACTGAGCCGCGCGTGAGGGTGAGCCCAGGGCATGGACCTAAGGGGCCTGACTCACCTAGGGGGACCCGCACAAATAGCTGCCGCTGCCTTTGCTGCAGTCCTAGAAAGCTTAGACCGGTGCTCAGACTTTCACCCTTAATCCCACCACTCAGACTTGCTCCTTCTCTCCACGGAAGGAGACCCCGCTTTAACTTCTGGCCATTTCCGTGTCTCCTAAGGCCTTTAGCTGCTAGCGCCTTGCCCCTCCGCTGGCTAGCATCCCGTCCGACTCCTGTGACCTGCCTCCTACCTGACCCTCGGCTCTGCCAAAGCCTCAGCCCAAAGACCTGTGGCCCAGGGAGCTCTCCCACACCCTGTAGGGTCCAGGGCCTACTCAGATGGATGTTAGCGGGACACCCTAAACCAGAGCCTCTGGGGACCTCAGGAGCTGCTGGTGCCACCCCCCCCCCCCGCAAAAAAAAAAAAAAAAAAAAAACTGTTGCCGTCAAGTTGATTCCAACTCATAGCAATCCTACAACAAAGACCAAAAAAAAAAAAGGGAAACGGACGTCCTGCCTGGCCACCTCAAAGAGATCTAAACGGTGCATAGGTTTGGCGTCTCAAAACTTCCTGGGGCAGTGATCCCATCATACACCCAGTCTCTCCAAAATCTCGGGATATTTGCCACCTAACTCTTCCCCTGGCCATTCAGCCAGAAAGTTGGACCTTTTGCCTGATGCCCTTTCCTATAGAGCTCTGGTCAGGTCAGGTGATGGCGGTGCTGGTGGCGGAGTGGCCCTGGAACCAAGTCCCTTGTCCGATGTAAGTGTTCAGACCTAAGACCAGACTGCAACTCCCGCTCCTCACCCTTTGGTTCCCAATAAAAGCAAGGCTTTCCCACCGGGGCAGCTAGAGAATCATTTCTACCCTGGGTGCGCAAATATTTAATCAGATATTGGGAGCACCTCCCCAGCCAGACCAAAGTCCCACCTGGCCAGCAGACTCCCTGCTATAACCCCAGCCCTCACCCTTCCTCAGTCAGGTTGGCTACCCGGGTGGGACACAGGGTGAAGACACAGCATTTACTAATCCTAAACTCACTAATCCTGCCCTGGTTTATAATAGTAGGGGTGGGGTGGGGGTGGAATCAGCCAGTGTCGGTACTGGGGACAGAGGAAGCTGAGATGCAGAGGTCCAGCATTCCAGCTAGGGAAACTCAGCCCAGGGCTGGAGGAGGGACCAGGAGAACAGAGGGCATTTGGTGGGAGGATAGGAGAGGATCAGTGAGGACAGGAGTTGGGAAAGGTGAGGTTCTTACCAAATTTTATGGGAGAAAGTGGAGGGGGAGATTAGAGTGAAACTAGTAAGAAGTGAAAGGAAATTAAGTATTTGCGGAAGAACACATTTGGCATATATTTCGGCGGCAGGAAAGAAATTAAATATTTAAGGGAGAAGCGAAAGGATCAAGTTTTTGAGAAAGGAAAGAACTATTTAAGGAAGCAGAGAAGGTCAGATATTTGGAAATAATGAAAAAACTAAATATTTGGGAAGAATAAAATGGATAAAAAATTGGAGATAAAAAAGAAAACGGACTATCTGAGGTAGAAAAAAGAGATTCAGAGAGCGAGGTGTACTGAATGCAAATAAACATCTGCAGCAGAAACAAAAATATAAATTTGCCAATAAAGATGAAAACAGACCATCTGAGGGATGAAACATAAATTGAAGAATTGGGGGAGTAGGAAGATCCTATGTTTAAGGGATGAAAAATACCTTTGTATTTGTGGGAGAGAAAAAGGGTAACATATTTCGGACATATACCCGTTTAGGGGAGAAGGCAGAGAATGGAATGTTTGGGAGAGGAAAAAAGAAGAGTATTTGTTAAAACAAAGAGGATCCCTATTAGGAGAAGAAAACCAGTTTAATTTGGGAAAGAGGCTAAAGATCTGAAAAAGGAAAACACTAGTATTTTCTGAGGACAGGAAAGGAATCATTATAGAGACGGCAAGGGCGGAAATTTCGGTCGGAGAAAAACAATATTCGGAGAGAAGGAAGCGGGCAGAGGACTCAGGGTGGCGGGAGGTGGGGGTGGGGGTCGCCTTCCCGCCCTCGGCAACCCTGACCCTTTTCCCGCCCCCTCCCCCAGGTCTGGTTCAAGAACCGGCGAGCCAAGTGGCGGAAGCGCGAGCGCAACCAGCAGCTGGACCTGTGCAAGGGCGGCTACGTGCCGCAGTTCAGCGGCTTGGTGCAGCCCTACGAGGACGTGTACGCCGCCGGCTACTCCTACAACAATTGGGCTGCCAAGAGCCTGGCGCCAGCGCCTCTCTCCACCAAGAGCTTCACCTTCTTCAACTCCATGAGCCCGCTGTCGTCGCAGTCCATGTTCTCGGCACCCAGCTCCATCTCCTCCATGACCATGCCATCAAGCATGGGCCCTGGCGCCGTGCCTGGCATGCCCAACTCGGGCCTCAACAACATCAACAACCTCACCGGCTCCTCGCTAAACTCGGCCATGTCGCCGGGCGCCTGCCCGTACGGCACACCCGCCTCGCCCTACAGCGTCTACCGGGACACGTGCAACTCGAGTCTAGCCAGCCTGCGGCTCAAGTCCAAGCAGCACTCGTCGTTCGGTTACGGCAGCCTGCAGGGCCCGGCCTCGGGCCTCAACGCGTGCCAGTACAACAGCTGACCGCCCAGCCCGGCCTTGCGGGCCGGCGGCCGGCACGGCGCC